CTCATCCTGAGCAGCAAGATCTGTGTGGCCCAGTCATGCTGGGATCCCGGGATTTCAGTTCCTCAGTCCCAAGGCAGCCTTAGGCTGCTGGGGCTGATGCAGGGTGTGGGACCCTCCGTCAGGCCAGGTGAGGGTGTGAGCTGCTTCCTGGGGAGGTTCTCATTAGTCAAGAGCAAGGCTCTAAGAACAGCCAGGGCTCTGGCTCTCATAAGGAGAGTGTGGGCTGATGGGAAGAGAGAGGAGGAGGGCCCAGCATTCGCACAGGTTGACGCCCTCCCCAGAAGCCAGATACCGGCTCACCTTCCTGGTTCACATCACATGTATCCTCCCACCTCACTCCAGGGGCCTGCACAGAGGTGTGGCCACTCCCAGCCAGTGGGAACCACGATGGCTCCAAAGGCAGGTAGATTTCTTTCCAGCCCCAAGAGAAGGCCTCGTGTCCAACAAGGGAATGCAACGACAGAGAAGTCGACCCAGCCAGGGCCATACCCCAGAACCCCTTACTGGACCCGCCTGCATCTTCAGTCCACAAACCACATGGAGCAATAGGTCAGTTGGAGAAGTGGGGCCCTCAGAATCACAGCTCCACCACACCTGCCTCTTCCCACCAGTGCTCACCACTTCCTTTAAACACTTCCAACAAGGAAACTGCAGAAGAGAGAGGGGAGGAAAAGGCCACGGCTCCATGCCTGCAGGCTCTGAAGTCATTTCCCCAGCTGCAGCCAGAACACGGAGCTGTGACTTGTAGACTGGTCTTACAGAAGGGGGGTAGTAGGGGCTAGTCCTGGTGTGTGAATCGAGGTGTCCAGGTGGGAGCCTCCTGTGACCTCACTCGGCTCAGTTCCTACTCCTGCTACTTCCAGCCTCCAGGCTCCCACAGGCAGAGAGGCGGGGTGCCTCCTTCCCACATCTCATGTAGCGTCTCATGAAGATCAAGCCTTCACACTGTAGTTTTATTTTCCTTAAGACAATGCTACTCATTCACCCTCCCTAGCCCCACACCTTGCCTGCCCCAGCCTTCCTGGACAAGGCCTTCTCCACTGAGAGTGTAACTCCACCAAGGGCTTTATCTGGAGGGGACTCTGGGCAGCTGGGAGTAGCTGGAAAGATGGCCCTTTGGGACTACGGTCCCTACAGTGGCCTCTCTTGCAGGACTTGAACTGACCTGTCACCACTCACTCAGGGACTAAGCCTTATGTCTGAGCACCTACTGGGTCATAATGAGATCCACTCATTCATTCAATAAAATGTATACTTATTTATTTACTTACTCGTCTTTATGTCTGTCTCAATCAAGTGACTATCATATTGAGGTCCAACACCTAATGGAGAGGTTGCGGCCAGTGATCCAGAGAGCGGGGTCTCCGTTTCACGGAGCATGTGTTCCAGTGTGAGAGCAGACACAGACCATACACAACAAATAAGCTTGAAAACTCCAGAAAGTGGTCAGGGTCATGGAGGGTAAAAACCAAGGTGCACTGGTAGAGGGTGAAGGCTGAGGGGGAAGACTGCTTGGAGGAGGTGACAATGGACCCTACATACTACATGAGTCACAGAAAAAGCATTCCAGGAAGGGGAGGAGCAGGTGCAAAGGTGGGACCAGAGTGAGCAGAGGAGAGAGTGAATGGGCTGGGCTCCGTGAGTGGCAGGTAGAGGTTGAACCACGTGAGGCAATGGTGTTTACTCTGAAAGGAACGGCATGATGGATGCGTGTTTCTAAGTGGGCACTCCGGCAGCTGGGCGGCTATGGAAGGAAGGGGGTTCACCGCCCGCAGAGGTTAGTTAAGGGTTACTGCAGAAGTTCAGGTACGAGATGACCATGGCTTGGACGGTGCTAGTGGTGGGGACAGAGAGAAGGCGATAGAGGAGAGCCTACAGGGCTCACTCGGGCTTGTACACATGGGTAAGACAGGTAGGGAGAGGGCCAGGTGGTGGTGTAGTGGTAACACACTGGACCCACATGGGGGAGGTCCTGGGTTTGCATCCTGGGACTTCTCTGAGCACACAGGGTCCACGCATACCCAGGATATGAGAGGGCTGAGACTGGGGGTGGGTCACAGCATGAAGATTCTATCAAGGGTGATTGCCCTCCTCTATCTCATGGAAGAAACAGATTTTTTAAAGGGAGAAGTCAGAGGTGATTTCTGGGTGTGCAGTTAGAGTAGCTGAGTGAATAGCGCTGCTGCTCACTGAGACAGGAAGGCGGGGAGCACAGGTGTATGTGTGCCTAGAAGGGGGAGACTAAGCATGCTTGAGCCAGGTTAGCTTCTGAGCTGCCTCGTGATCTCCAACTGAGAGGTCACCGGAGGGCTGGAGGTGCTCCAGCCGGCTTGCCCTGACCCTCCATCCCACAGAGCTCTCTGCTCGGACTTCCACTCCAGCCCTCCATACCCAGGGAACCTGGCTTTGAGTTCTCCTGCCTACCTGAGCCCTGCCTACAAATGACCACCCAGCTCCGCGGAATCATCACACGTGACCTGGCTGCACACCAGCTATACCCCTGGACCTGGCTGCAAGATCCCTGTCCCAACTGCCACCAGGAAGCTCTCCAGGGCCAAAGCCACCCCGGAGCCAGCCACCATGCTACTGGCTTGTACCCTGGGTTCCTGGCAAATTCAGGAGGGAAATCCTTCAGGAAAGTAAGCTATATGCCAAAAATGACTTGGTCTTGTCTTAGGACCGTGGAAAGGACTGGGAAACGACATGCTGAGTGCCTGTTTCTAAGTGGGCACATGGAGCCCAGCATGGTCTGAGCCTCCTGTCTGTCCCTGTGAGTCTCAGGGTCCCCAGTGTAAGCCAAAGACACCAGGATAAGGAGGGGCTGCCTTCTTCTCCAAGAGCTTAGAGAGGAGAGTGGTGTGGGTGAGAAGGAAGCCAAGAGCTGGAGGGCTGGGGAGACCATTCAATTGCTCATGGTCTCCACAACAAGGAATTTTAACTCTGTAACTGTGGACTCATCATTGCATGTTCACACCTCCTTCCTATACAGCAGAAACTGTTAGGCAGGCGGGTACGGGGGTGAATGGGTGAGACTGCAGCTCATTAGACAGTGTGTATGTGTTTGTGTGCACACGCCACTGGTAACACTCAAGGACCCTCCATCACAAGGCAGTTTCCTTCACCCTTCACGTTGCCACCCCTTTCTGCCAGCTTCCCAAGAGCTGGCCCAGGCCACAGATACAGAGCCTGGGACAAGGACAGCTCCAGGGTGAGCTCCCCTCCTTCGCTCACCCCTTCTCCTCTCACTCTTCACCCCGTGACTGAAACTTTTTATATTGACATCACTTCCCACCCAAGAATCTCTCTGAGGGAAAAATCCTTAAGAATGCAAATAGCTTCATATTTAATATTAGCCACTGTGAGATACCTAATACTCAAGTTAGAATTAACTGCTGCCTGATAACTATATCATATGCATTCAGTAAGACATTAATAAATCAATAATAAATACAACATATAAGCATGAAAACATAGAGAAAACAACTTGATTAGCATGTCAAATGATAAGAGCAAAACAAGAAATTATTCATCCAGGATGATTTAAATCGGTGCTGTCCAGTAGAAATGTAATGCCAGATAATTTATTTATTTATTTATTTTTGAGAGTTTGTTTGTTTTGTTTTGTTTTGTTTGCTATAGGATGCGTGCGCTCGCCAGAAAGACAGAGAGACATAGAGAGATAGAAAGCGAGAAAACACCCCCCAGAGGGGATGGCCACACTGCAATCCCTTCTCCTCCATTCTCCTCTCGGGATCTTGGGTATGCACACACACGTGCCTGACGTGAGTTTAAGTCACTGGGTCTGGGACTCGAACCATGGTCGGCTACGTGGGAATCCAACAACATAGCCATTACACTAACTGCTGGTCCCAATGCCAGATAATTTTCATTGTTAAGTAGTCACATTCTATAAAGTTAAAAAGAAAAAAAAAAAACACATAGATCTTAATAACATTTTATTTAGCCCAATATAACCGAAAGAGTATCATTTCAACACACAGGTTGAAGGCTGGCATAGTGGTTAAGGTCCTGGTTCCCACATGGCTGACCGCAGTTTGAGTCCTGGATCTGGCAGCTTGAAAATCAAACCAGGTGAGTGTGCCTGTGTGCACAAAATCCCAGGAGAAGAATGGAGGAAAAGAGATTACAGGGCGGTCATTCCCCATAGCGGGTGGTTTCTGACTTTCCCATACACAGAAAAGCTGGATCCCACATGGTCAATCGTGGTTCAAATCCTGGTTAGGGCAGCCTAAAAAATACACGAAGCACATGTGTGTATGTGCCCCAAATCCCGATGGGAAGGAGAAATGGAGACTATCCCCTCCCCCTACTTCTTTCTTTGTCTCCCTTTCTCTCCTTCTCCCTCTCTTCCCCTCTCTCTGGAGTGTGTGTGCATGTACCCTCTTGCAATCTAAAAAAAAAACAAAAAACAAAAAACAGTAAATCCCTTATAGGATTTTGTGAGAAGTGAGACCATTAGTACAAAGTGTTCATCGCAGTGTTTACTACACAGCCAATGCTTCCAGAAAAGCTAGTTGTTATTAAGATGAATGAATGAGGGAGCAGCAGATGGCGTAATGGTTATGTCACTCGACTCCCATGAGACCATGGTTCGCATGGTCTTGGCAGCTTAAAATTCACACCAGGCACGTGTGCATGCATGCCCAAAATCTCGAAAGAAGAATAGAAGATAAGGAATTGCAGCATGGCCATCCCCCTGGGGGGTGATTTCTCGCTTTCTATCTCTCTGTCTTTCCCTGTCTTTCCAGCGAGCACATGCACTCTATAGCAAAATCGGTCTAAAAAAAATGAAAAGACGAATGAATGGCTGACCAGTGGCTATAAGCACTGTATGTGCACCCTACATCCCTCACTGCTGCTATCGCTCCCCACATCCCCTTCTCAAGAGCAGATGGTCTTGTTCCTTAGTCTCAGCCAGTCAAAGCTGGCCCTGTTTGATCCCTCATGCCCCGCCCCCTGGCCTGGGCCCGGCAGAGTACCTGTACCACCTCCGGTCTCACGTTGAAGGTGTACAGCCAGTCGCTGAAACGGGGGTAGCTATTGAGCTCCGGCGTCCTCTCGCTGGGAGCCACGCTCAGCTTGCACTGCCGCTGCTTACAGATGTACCGGACCAGCTTGGCCTGCGGAAGTCCAGGACAGAAAAGGCTGTGTTCACTCGTGGCACAAACGCATGGCAGCCTTAGCACACTTCGGGGGCTCGGGCAGACCCAAGCAATGTGACGAGAACAGGAGCCTGCTGGAACCCCCTTGCTGCCACTAAACAGCTGTGGAGTAGGGCATAGAGGAGGACAAGAAAGGGCCTGGGAGAGCCTGGGATCCAGTAACCTCCTATAGACCTCCTACCTCACCCAGGGCTGGCTGACAGTACCCACCCTTGGGACACGGTTCTTGGTGAGTAATGGGCAAGACTGGTCGGAACAGAGAATCGGGGTGAACACAGAAAAGCCTTCCTGCCTGGGCTGGGGGAGGGTGAGGAAGTGGTGAGTAGTGATGTGGCAGACTGGGGTGTTAGGGGAGGCTGGGCAACCTTCCGCCGGGATGCTTCCAGCCTAGAACCAGACGCCTGGCTGGGACCCAGGGGCTCGGTCACACCGTAGCTGTGACCTTGGACATGCCTTTATGCAGGCATTTATCCAGCTGGCTCTTAGGGGAGACCTAGGCTGTTACTTAACCTGGCAAAGGCTCACTTTCCTCCTCCAGACAGTGGGGAAATAACAGAAGCCCCCTTCCTGGAAGGCTGAGATGACATGGGGCACTCAGCACATGCAGGCATACAGAGCTGGCTGGGACTGCCGGGCTGTAGCCATGCTGGTAAGGGGCCTGGACTTGGGCCCCCAAACAGTTTTTAGACATCCACATTCTGAAATGCATACAAATTTCACACATGTCAGTCTGCATATTTTCTTGGGGAACAGAGTCCAAAGCTTTCAAAAGACTCTGAAAAGGCTGGAACTTCAAGTAAGATACAAAATCCATTTGAATAAGGACAGCCTGACATTGATCAGTCTGGCATTCTCTTTGACAAACACCTGGCTCCATCCTGGTGCCCAGCACTGGACTGATGGACAGGGCGGGGCGGGGGACAGGCCACACGAGGACAGTGCACTGGGGTGAGGGTGCACCTGGGGTGACGGAGGAAGATGCATTCCAGTGGAGGCCAGCCCCTCCCAAGCAGACATGAATTATGGTGAAGAGACCTAGTGGCCTCATACTGGTACTCTAAGTTCCCCTCAAAGGCAAGCACCACTTTCAAAATCTCGTACAGGAACCTGCCATTTGGAGACACTTCTCGAGGCCTGCCACCCCACCTCTTAAGGGTTTTGTGGCTAATCCATTCCTTGTCCTGTTGGTATCTCCATACAGACAGACCCAGACTTCGTTTTATAGTTTTTCAACTTTACAATGGTGCAAAAGCAACATGCGCTCAGTAGAAACCATACTTCGCGGACCCAACCACTGTTGCTCACTTTCAGTACAGTATTTGATCCATTACATGAGATATTATACAGATATTATGCAGAGACTTTGTGCTAGGTGATTCAGCCCAACGGCAGGCTATTTAAATGTTCTGAGCTCGTGTGACATGGAGTAGGCGGAGTTGTGATGTTCAGTAGGTTAGGTGTATTAACTGCATTTTCAGCTTAGGCTGTTTTTAACTTAGGGTGGGTATATGAGCACATAACCCCCATGGGTAGTCAAGGGTAAAAGGACAGGGACTCTTGCTAACACTGTAACAATACTAAAAAACAATAACGAATAACTTTACATTTCAAATCTCTAGAAAGACTCCAAATTTCCAACTAAAATAAGAGCTTACAAACATTGTGAGGCCATGGACCCCTTTGGAGGTCTGTAGGGGCCCACAGTCTCTAGGAACAATGCTTTTATTTGCTTTATTTAAATTTTTAAAAAGAGATTATTGTGATAGGGTATATGCATTCGCCTGAGACAGACAGAGAGAGAAAAAGTGAGAAACCATCCCCTCAGAGGGGATAGACACACTGCAATCCCTTTTCCTCCATTCTCCTCTTAGGATTTTGGCCACACACACACACACACACACACACACACACACACATACACACATACACACACGCCTAGCATGAGTTTCAAGCCTCCAGGTCTAGGGTTCGAACTGTGGTCTGCCATGTGGGAATCCAGCGCCTTAACAACGATGCCACCTGCTGGCCCCAGAACAAAGCTTTTAAATGCATAAAACATTTAGGATCACAGAGAAGATCAATTATACTTAAATATATTTATGGAAATTGTGACTGAATAATCAAAGCTTCTTTATAAAGCATTAAATACTTGCAGCTGGTTTGCTTACCATCTGGATTTCAAAGCTGGAACAGACACGAACTGCTTTATCAATAGCTACAACCATCCCATGATATGGAAACAGCTGAGATTCCTCCTGGGACTGGGCATGGTATTTGCTAAGACCATGCCTTGTTGCCTACAATCAAACTGACATTGCTAGTCCATTGCTCTCTGCTGAGGCGCACTACTCCAAGTGGCCACACGAGAAGTCTACCCTACTTACTGCAGAGCTAAGCCCCTGGGAGCATCTCCAGGGTGTGCGGCTCACAAGGTGGAGACCCAGATGTGACTTTCATCATAAGTGGGAAATCTCCAGGTTAAGAGGTGGCACTCCTGTCCCCTGTCCTGGCTCACTCTGCCCTGATCCAGCCCTCCCAGTGTGACCAGAGACAAATTCCAAGTCAGGGCCCAACCGCCCCCTCCCTCCTTCTTCAATCCACCCCACCCCGTCCTCTGGCAAACACTCACCTACCAGCTGGTCCTCCAACCCCTCCGGTAGTTTCCTACCCAGGCCAGGTTAGAATTCCCCCACCCTGCCCTCCCCCGGGGGTCCTGTCTGTGACTCTGCTAAGGCCCCACCACAGCAGGCCTCATACTGAAGGTACAGCCTCTATATCAGCTTCCTTCCGGAGATGTGAGGTACTCAAACACAGGTTTCCAAGTTGAACAAATCTGGGTTCAAACCTGCCATTTACCTGTTGTGTGACCTCAAGGAGTAAAATAATTTTTCTGAGTCTGGGTTTGCATGTCCGTAAAACAGGAATGATGCACCCACCTCATACTGAACTATAGCATGGAAACCTCATGAAACTTAGGTTAGGGCCCTGTCACTACACACCGGGGCAGGAACGGTGTCTGCCTCATTCGCTGTTGTCCCACATGCCCATTACCACACCTGGCACAGGACGCACGGTCCGAGATGCCTGAGGAAGGAAGACGGAAGGAAACACGTGGCCCTTCTCCCTATGTTTCTCACAGCCAGTCTGTCCCTCCATTCCAAACAGCTCTCAAACAAAAGCTTCAAAGGGCTGGCCAAAGGCGAGACAATGATCAAATAGCTGTGCAAACTCAAAATCACCCTGCCACATTAACGGGAGACGCCAGGCAGCTGGCACTACCAGCAACAGCCACAAAGGCCGTCCATCACTGCACGAGGGCTCCCAGGGCCCACCTCTGGGAGCGATGAAAACATATCCATTCTGCAAGACCTTGGCCATGGCAGGCTGACGCAGAGAGGAGCCAGCCCGGCTGCAGCCTGGATCAGTGTTTGGGCTTGTGCCAGTTCAGCATCTCCACCTCTGCCTAGCCTCTCCCCACTTCCAGCAGGCTCGTCCAGTGACTCTCAGCCTATATTCAGTTTAGATACCCCTTAATCCAGGAAGCCTTCCCAGAGCCCTTCCACCCACTGTCAAGATCAAATATCACACACAGCTCTGAGTTTTTACCGTCTGTGCCCTTCTTTAGGTTTTAAGTTCCCTGAGGTCTGAGGCCCAGCGTGTGCTCAGGCCATCCCTAGATTCCCCCAGGAACTCAAGCATAGCGCCTAGCACATCATTTGCAGTTTAAAAGTCTTCGTTGGATGTATGAACAAATGAACACACAGTGCATTTTTGTAGCCCATTCAGGCACACACGTATAACGGGCAGCAGAAAACAAACACCAACTGGGCAAGTGGCGAACACTTCAGAAACCAGAGACAAGTCCCCCCGAAGAGGAGTGAGTGGCTTCTTTTCTTGAAGGGTACAGAGAGCCCCACAGCAGGGAGCCCCAGGCAGGCCACTGCAGGGCTGCATGGAACTTGAAGAGATTCTTTACTGCACCCAGATAACAATTCATAAACGAGCTGGCTAGGCCTGAGCAAGGGAGGAAAAATGCCTAGTGTCTTGTGACCCATTTACAAGTGGGGCTGGTGTCCTGGAAGCTGCTTAAGGCCATCTGGGCTGGCCCCACAGCACAGGGGTAGGCACTGTGCAGAGGAAGCTGGATCCCGTACAGCCTTGGGTTCAAGACCCAGCTGGTCAGCTTCACTCCAAGTGCACATGTGTGCCCAGGATCTTGATGGGATAAAAACTGGAAGGGAAAGGGTTAGCGCTCTACTGGGCCCCATGGTGGTGAGCGGTGTCCTTCAACTCCCTCCTCCCTCTCTCTCTCTCTCTCTCTCTCTCTCTCTCTCTCTCTCTCTCGCACAGGCACTCACCCGCTGGCATAAAGAGAAGGAAAGACCCTCTGGCATAAAGAGAAGGAAAAAAGCAGAGCAGAGCTTCTCCTACTCACAGGAAGGAGGCGCTCGCGTGCAGCAGCTCGCATCAGAGAGAAGGCTGCTCACACTTTTTCAGAGAGCTGGTCTTATCACAGCAGCACGGAAGGCTCCTTTCCCAGACAAACCACCGTTGGGGCCTGCCAGCCCAGCCCTGGAGGTCTACAAGGCAATCTTTCGCTGGCAGCATCATTTTCTCTTAACCACGAAACCACGAGATATAAATTTTCCGGACTAGAAAAGCACCTGGGGTTGCAGTGATGGGACCTGCAGCCGAAGGGAAAGGGTTAGCGCTCTACTGGGCCCCATGGTGGTGAGCGGTGTCCTTCAACTCCCTCCTCCCTCTCTCTCTCTCTCTCTCTCTCTCTCTCTCTCGCACAGGCACTCACCCGCTGGCATAAAGAGAAGGAAAGACCCTCTGGCATAAAGAGAAGGAAAAAAGCAGAGCAGAGCTTCTCCTACTCACAGGAAGGAGGCGCTCGCGTGCAGCAGCTCGCATCAGAGAGAAGGCTGCTCACACTTTTTCAGAGAGCTGGTCTT